TGGCTCCACATCCTTCTAGCTGCATTAATCAAATTCTTGTCATACAAAAATGTGTAAATAAATTACTCATAAACTGCTGTTTGAAGAACTTCATGTTGCTGTTCACAAAAAAGTTATAATAATAATTCAAACTTATAGTTTTACGTCTCAGCCATGATGATGGAGATTTGGAGCCAGGTTGTTCCATCCCCACCAATTGACACATCCTGCTATGTGTTTCTAGGCTGAGGGGGCACAGGAGGCAACAGAGGGGAGTGGGGACCCCCGGAGTGGCAGCCCTGCCCCGGCCCCAGGCTCCGAGCCAGGGCAGGCTGGGGGCCCCGCTGCCCTGAAGAATGGGTTGAAGGACGGGGCTCCCTGTCATAGTGAGGGCCTCCAGGAGCCCCAGGCTCTGGACTCACACATCCCAGAGACAAGTAAGTATGTGTTGGTGTGTTAGTTTGGGTGGGATCCCCACATAGTGAACCAGGAGGAGGCAGGAAAGGTTTGATGTACTTGTCCTGCTGAGCCGAGTGTCTGATTGGTGTGCTGTCTGCAGTCCAAAGCTCCTGATCACATCATCTTTTATCTTACAGGCATCTAATTCTGCTGTCCCTCTGCCCTCCTCATTTCAACTCCCCCCCTCAACGTCACCGCCTCCCCCTCTCCCACCTTGTCTTTCCCGTTTTCCTTCTTTGTTCTTGTTCTCTCCCCCTCTCCCTACCTGTCCTCCCCTCCTCCCCCCAAACGTTTCTGCTTTAGATTGAGTCTTTCAAGCTCAACTTCCGCGAGAATGCTCGCTCTCGCACGGACCACGGCGCTGACATCGTCACCTGGCTAGCCCCACAGGACAACAACAGTAACAGACCCCACCCACACGGCTCCTCTTATTCCCTACACACCAACTACCACCAACAACAACAGCAACCGACAACTCGTAGTGTCTCCCTCATCGAGTCGCTGGCTTCGGTCGGCTGCGTCAGCTCCCCCTCCGCCCCCTCCTCGCTGCAGCTCCAGGTGGAGGTCCAGGGGGTCGACCGCAGCAGCTCCTTAAAGGGATCGTGACCTTTGTGACCCCTCTTAATATCTCTAACCTGCTATTGCTACATTTTGACCCATCGAGTAGTTCCATCATGCTTTTCCTCTCACACTGATTGTGCGCCGTCACCCTCACCCTGCTAGATTTGGCTGAGTGACTGTGTAGACTGTGCCTGGTGAGAGGCGAAGGGGAAACGAGGGCACAGTAAGGTTTTCTCACATTCTGGGTTTTTGCTTGGATCCTCTTCACCCCACAGCCTTGTGGCAGACTGTGCTCTCCATCACCCTCCCCCAGTAGCATCCGCACCCACAGCAGCGTCAGCAGCAAATCACTTCACTCATCTACTAATCAGCATGGAAACCCTGGCTTCTCTTTCCTTTGTGACTCTAGGGGCTGTTTGTTACCTGCATCCACTTACTCTCTGCTTCAGTGACATCATAGTAACTCATCTCACCGTCTCCTCCTCTCTCTCTTCAGCAACACTTACCATAAACGCGCTGACAAACAAAATAAAGCTAGACAACATGTAGGCTGTTTAACTCTTTATTCTCTGTGTTTGTGATGATGTGTTTGAGTGACACAAATCGTGTAAAAATGAGCTTCGGTGTTCTGCTCATCTTATTTCTTGCGTCTTTCTTTTTTCCTTCCCCCCTCCTTCATTGATTTTAAAACAAAGTTGTATTTATTTATAGTGTCTTCCTGCATAAGCAATACAACGGGCGGTCGTTTTTTTTTGTCTGATCAGAAAATCTTGGAAACACGCACAGGTTTTTCTAAACCAAGACACACAGTGACGAAAGAGATTCAGGGGGAGAGAGGACGTTGAAAAAGCAGGCGTGGCTAGAAGCGTGAAAAGGGTTGTTTTTTTATTAATGGCAAAATAGCAAGAAGCCTGTAACCTGAACGTTTCTGAAACGTAATAGAGGAAGATGAAGTTCAGTCTGCAGCCCAAATGTGGATGAGGAAATATGAAATATGTCTGAAGTCGAAGGAGCTGTGTGTATCGTATGTGCCTCCTGTCATTTTGAAGTACAGCGAATGAGGCTGACCCAGGCTCTGACCTAAAACTGCTCAGAGGGAGTGAAAGGAAATGCCAGGAGAAACCTGGTGCTGCTGTTAAAAGGAAATCCTGTAAGTGACCCTTTCCTGATAGTGCTTCTCGTCCCATTCAGGTGTGTGAGGATCATGGTAGCATGTTATTTGGCTAAAGCTTCAGCTGACACTCCTGTGTCCTGTTGGAACAGCAGCGGGGACGATGTGGCTTTATCCTCTTCTATTGTAGCAATGTAATCAAATGTTGCCTTTGTAATGCATGGCCAGATAATATGACTCTAGGTTAAAGGCTGATGTCCATTATGAAAGTGTTGTGGTTTGGTCAATTAGTGTCGAGATTAGCTGATTTATGTTTTAAAGGAAACAGAGAGGAAGAACCAGTTTGTTATCTTTGTTTCCCCTTTTTAAAATCATGATTGAATTTCACAGCTGACCACAGATTTGTATGCACCAACTCCGTGGCTCAAACACACACACAGGTCAGCCACTGTCAGGATTTAAAGAGGGTTTCTTTTGTTTGTTTGTTTGCTCTTTTGGCTTCGTCAAACTGATTCTGTCAGCAGTCGTTAAAGTAATATAACAAGGGCTGGGTATCATCTGAAACTGATACCATACATCTAACTGACTGGCAAATGAAAATATGATAGATCAAAACATTATCTCATAAAGTTAGGATGGGGAACGTGTTAGCAAACATAGCATGCCCTTTTCAGTCCATGTAATACGTCTTACCTTAATAAAAGAACAGCATTTTCTTTTTATCTCCGACTCAACCAACTCTTTAGCTGCTACATGCTACAGTTAACGGCTAGCTTTTTTCACCACTCAGCTGCTAACTGTACTTGCCTCCCATCTGGTGCTTTTTTTAAAACTGCAAACAGCTGTCTGCTGTTATGTCTGAAAACAGGGTTCATGACAATGAAGTAAAACAGCAAAGTTCCAAATTATAAAACCAAAACAATGCGTTGAAAGAAGCTAACAAGCTTCTGGTAGCTAGCAGTAGCTACCATGTTTGAAAATGTTACCTCACTAGCATGAGAGGTTTGTTTGTACTTCTCTGTTGATATCACAATAAGAAATAGTGCTGTTAATCCTTTTGGCCACAATAATCTAAGCTAACATTGTGACGCCACGAGGTGAAACTTATCGTGTAACTGCCAAAATGTTTGAGGTATACCCGACAGTTTTCTGAAGAACAGTACTTACGTTTGAACTACTCACACAGTTGTTTCCAGTCTGTGTTTGCAAAGTCATTGTTTTTGTCAAATGTAGCAAAATTCCCAAAAAGCAAAATGCAAATTCAGCTTCATTAGGCTCTTCCTAGCAATAGCATCCAACTACAGAAACACAGAGGTTTTCAGTGCAAGCTGACACTAAAATCAGTGATTTGTAGAAAAGCTCTGATGACATTAATTAGCACCTTAAAGCTTGAGTGTATCAGCGAGGGTTGACTTATGGAGTGGAAATAATGAGGAATAAGTGATCCTTCATTCTGAGTGAGCTTTTGCAGTAGTGTGAATGCCCATGCCCTCTCTCTTCTTCTTCAGCTGTTAATTGATTTAGTCATTGCTAATTTTTAACAGAAGTACAGGGACGGGAAGTCAACCAATGTCTTTGGAATTGTCTTTGGGAATATTTCACATGCAGATGGTGGCGCATTAATAAAAGCTGTCATCAAGCAGTTGAATTGCTTTGTTTGCGCCGCAGCAGCTGTCTTCTAGCAAAAAGCTTCCTTGTGCCTGTCCCAACTTCTTCTAGCTTTGCTTTTCTCCCAGAGTTTCTACTTACCAGTACACGGGTGTACAGATGTGCTCTGTAGTCCTCTTCATGGCCCCTAAAATATAAGAAGTAAACAAAGTAGATACCAAGCAGGGTTGGTTGGTGGGGAGTTTTCCAAGTACCCTTAAGGAAGCATCATAACTATTATGGCTGTTTTTAAGAACTGCAAAAATAAAAAGGTCTACCTGTTTTTATTGAAAGGGGCCACCGAAGTAAAGAATGTCTTTTGAGATATAAGTGCAGTAAAGACACAACATATGCACTCCTGTAGCTCTGTGGGGGGCGTGCTCATCTGATTGGAGGGTGTAAAATATCAAATTTGTCACAGCCCCTTTTACAGACTGCATCTCGCCCAGAATTGAGACTCCCAGTGCAGCACTTCTTCAAGTCTTTCAAATATTATAGCAGATGATTTTATTTGGAGTTGTGGCAGCAGCTCGATTTAGAAACATTGACGTATATATGCTTAATAATTTAATTAACTGCAGCCTTTTTAACAAAATGTATAGTGCATGCACATGTATGTCTGCACACTATGAAATTATGCTTGCAAGCCCAGTCCTAAGAGATGAGAAACGTTTCTGTAAGCATACAGTGACCTCTGCAGGTTCATATAATAAAAGAATAAAACTAAATGGGAATGAAGCTAATGCACCTGAATCACATGCCACTGCATAACAGTGGGCACAGAGGTCCACATACAGGCCTGTCATTTGGACATTCTGCATATCAAAGCCTATTAGCCGCTCTGTTACGGCACTCAGAGGGCAGAGACCCTAAAACGTTCTTATTTGAGGCTGAGAAAATGAACCGTAGCTAACATTTTGGCTTATTTAATAAAAGCTCCTCTGAAATCTGTCCAAGGAGCCTCGTAGTGCTTCATCGAACGCTGCCACACTCACACCTGACATGCAAGTGTAACACTAGCTAACGAACACCTACTGTACCTGCAGAGCATGCTGAAAAACTATGGGATGTGTTAGGTAGACTTTGTCATTTGAAGAACCTCCTTGTTTTTGTTTTGTTTTTTGCGTGTGTGTGTTTGTTTTTCATAATTTGAATTTTATTTTTCGGTTTGGAAAAAAATTTATTGTGATTACTTGTTAATTAGTGATGTGATAATTAAACAAATAAATTGGACTAAAACTCACATTTGATTTGATGTGTTTTGTGTGTATTTCATTCCTCTCAAGCAGGTACGCCGAAATTAAAACAACAGAATATGCAGAAAGTTTAAAATATGAGACACATCCAGACCATTAAAGTAAAAGTATGTTGCTAGTGTGAATTGTAGGCTTTGTGTGAAATGCTAAACGAAACAACAGCTCACAGTGGACCTTGTTGTGTGGTTGTACCAGGACAGGTAAGCAGACAGCTTATTCTAGTAAAGTAATGAAGATGAATCTGTCACTGGATGGGAAAAAAAGGGGTTAAAGCCACGATGAGAGACGCCTGCTTATCCACACTGGAGAGAAGCCACACTGATGTCAGCAATGTGGGAAAAGTTTCAAACACACAAAGTGTTCCTGCCTGTCCCTGTTTCTGTCTGCTGGCTTCTGTCCAGCAGACACATGAGCAGTTCCTCGTATTTGTTCTCCATAACTAAGGAGAAAATCGGACAATTTCAACATGGCTTCGGAATCCATACAGTAAATAAAACGACTACACGACGTTATCACGCAATTAACAAGTATGTGGTGCAGTAGTACTTTCTTCGACATAACAACGGCGCGTTTATTCAACATAACAACGGAGCGTGGTGTCCAGTAACTGCAGGAGGACTAAAATAAATTGAGAAGGTTTGCAGAAGTTGAAAAGCACAAAATAAACACTTGGAATATGACTTCGAGTGAGCAGCTTAAGGTAAACAATTATCATCTGTAATAATGAAGTAAAACTTATAATACAAACCTTTTTTCGAAAGCAACGAGATTGGCACAAGATCGGGGTAGGATGAAATAATAGGCGTGTACTATTTACACCGGAAACATGGCCGTTTTGAATTGTGCGCATGTGCAGTAACAACAAGTAGGGCAGCTTGATGGGTAGGACGTTTTGTCAGAACACCGGTACTCCCTCTGTGAGTAGGCTGCCCGGCTTCCAGCTGCTGCGGGCGGACAACATGAGAGACAGCGGTGAGAGGAAAGGAGCGGGACTGGCAGTGTTTGTTAAAGACAGTTGTGGTATCCCTGGGCACATCGCTGTGAAAGAACAACTCTGCAACAGAGACATTGAGCTATTAGCCGTTAGCATCCGTGGAGGTAGCTTGTGACTCTCTGTGGTCCGCAGACTGCAAACGCAATCTCCGAGAGCTCTTCTTCTAATATCAGGGGACTTTAATCATGTCTCGCTGGACTCCACACTGCCCACCTTCACCCAGTATGTGACCTGCCCCACCGTAGGCAATAAATCATTGTACTTAATGTATGCCAATGAAAAGGTGGCATACAGTCCATCACCTCTCCCTGCCCAAGGAAGATCTGATCGTAACCTAGTGCGCCTTGTCCCTGTGTGCAGCACTTAGTGTGCAGGGAGCCACCAATCACCCACGCAGTGCAGAGATGGTCCGCGGAGGGCATATAAATAAATAATAAAAGCAAATAAATGACAGTATGCTTTTACTGAAACAAACGGAGACCTTAACTTTTATCAAAATACCGTTTTACTCAGTTTAAAGTAATACCACTGTATAATAGCCTTCAAATTTAATAATGTTAATAGTATGTCAGGAATATTTTGCCCTTTCAACATGCATTAAAAAAAATAGATATGCAGTTTTGAATCAGACCTGTATGTACGTTTTCTGAAAAGTGATGTAAATAAGTAATCTCAAGAACATGAAATAATTGTTTCCCATGTAAACTGGAGATGTCCTTGTCAACGTCAACAGAGTACTCTGGATGTCTTACACGAATTTGAAACGTAAAACCAGACAGTGGCACATGACAGTGTTGCAAATGAAATAACTAGTTTACCTGTATGACATGAAGTTATGAAAAAAAGAATCCATGTAACTTGGTTATGGCTTCTTTCTGATAACTGTAGATACTAGGTGTGCAACAATACTCGTATCAATATTGAACCGTTCGATACAGTGCTTTCGGTTCGGTACGCATATGTATCGAACAATACAAAATTTGTAATTTATTTTATCAACTTTTCTTCTGACGATGCTGTCTGTGTTGAGCGCTCAGTGGATCTGCGTTCGACTACTCCGCCTAGGCTGCACTGTCGAGTGCAGATCCACTGAGTGCAGCGCAAGCTAGCAAGACAGAAGCTAAGCTCATTGCAACAAGGCAACTGCCTCAACGCTACCCAAACCTCCCCCACCCTCATTCAGATCTGGCTTTTGGAACTATCTTGGTTTTCATGTGAAGCGTGACCCTGAAGGTAAGCACGTCATGGACTAAAGTAAAACAGTATGTCGGATGTGCCACGCAATGCTCAATTACATGGGTGGGAGCTAGTGCGTTAGCGCAGTTAGCTTGTTAACGCCGTCCAGCCCCACGCACGGGGCGATCCGCGGTAACTTGTTAACGGAGATTTGCCGTGTTATGGTGTTAATGTCATTTTAATGAGATTAACTCTGACAGCACTAGTGGGAACACAACGAATATGACTGCACATTTACGCCGACATCATCCTAGTGCAAAGACAAGTGGAAGCAGACATAAACAAAAAGCACGCATGCTACAAATTTTACCCGAGTCATTTAGACAGCCGTTAGCACAGGATTCTCCTTATGGGGACCTGATATGTTTAATATGCTGCTGAGAATATAGCCCAGAAGAAGCGTATAGTATAGCTTTTATTTTGAAAGAGCCATTTCTCTGTAATAAACTCTCTTTTCCAAAGATGAGTGATTCCTCAATCATAGATTTTTTTTTTTAAATGATTTTGTTGTTTCAGCAACATTAAATTTAAAAACTGTACTTTTGAGTTAAAATATATATTTATAATTTTAATAAATGACAAATTAAAAAGGCATGAACATTTTTTTGTATCGAAAGAATATCGAACAGTGACACCAAAGTATCGAACCGAACCATGAATTTTGTGTATTGGCTGCGTTTCGGAAGGATATTCCTCTCAATCCACCTCACCAGGTACTTCTCTAAAAGTGTGACTCAGGTCTGTTGCCCCAAAGGATACAGGAAATGCACTGATTTCCATGACAGAATCATGTCTGTTTAACCCTTGTGCGGCCTGGACCAAAAAAAAAAAAGAAGGGGGGGGGTCATGCAGACCCCGGCAGCGTGGATCCAGGTCTCAACGCGAAACAAGGCTCCGGTTCGCGGTGGGGGCAGATGGGGGTCAGGCGGACCCCCAGCTATAGCGGGTCTCGTCACAGCGTCGAACAAAGGCACCTAATTGGCTGTAACCCTCCATCGATCGCGTAAGTTACGATGGCAAACCTTGGGGTCTGTTCGCGTAAACCGGCCTCAGTGAGGACCTCGGACTCTTCGTTCCTCCTTCTCCCCAGTTCTCCTGCTCCCCGCAGGCGAGCGCTTAGCTGGATGGGCCCCGGGTTACGCGTAAACCGGCCTAAGTGGGGACCGCGGGCGCTCCATGCTCCGTGGGTACTCTGTGACCCCTTAGTGATCATGATGGGGTATTTCGCCACCCCACACCACATTCGTAAGTTACGATGGCAAATACTGGGGTCTGGAGGGACCCCGAACCACCGGAGCAAACATCTCTCAACTTCACATAATCATCATCATCATCATCGTCTCCTTCCTCCTTCTCCTTGCTCCTTCTACCCTGCGCTTGCAAACGCTCAGCTTTACAGAGGGTAGTCTTCACGTAAACCGGCCCTCTCCTCAGTTCTCCTGGGCCTCGCTGTTGGACGCTTGGCTTTACAGAGGGCAGAGTTCGCGTAAACCGCCCTCCTTGAGGGCCTCAGACTCTCCCTGCCGCCTTCCTACCTCCTTCTGCTCCATTCTCCTGCTCCTCGCAGGCAAGCGCTTAGCCGGGTGGGCCCCAAGTTACGCGTAAACCGGCCTTCGCGAGGACTGGGGGTGCTCTCTACTCCGTGGGTACACTGTGACCCCTTAGTAATGGCGATGGGGTATTTCACAACCCCAATGCACATTCGTAAGTTACGATGACAAACACTGGGGTCTGGAGGGACCCCGAAACGTTGGAGGAAACAACTCTCAACTTCAGATCATCATCATCATCTCCTTCTTGGCAGTGTTCACGTAAACCGGCCTAAGTAAGGACCTCGGACACTCCCTGCCTCCTAGTCCTCCTTCCTCCTTCTCCTCGGTTCTCCTGTGCCTCGCTGTCGGACGCTTAGCTTTGCAGAGGGCAGTGTTCGCGTAAACCGGCCTCTATGACGACCTTGGACGCCCCCTGCATCCTAGTCCTCCTTCCTCCTTCTGCTCCGTTCTCCTGCGCCTTGCAGGTGAGCGCTTTGCCGGATGGGCCCCGAGTTACGCGTAAACAGGCCTAACTCGGGACCTCAGGCACTCGGAGCAAACAACTCTCAACTTCACATCATCATCATCATCATCATCAATGTCTCCTTCTCGGCAGTGTTCGCGTAAACCGGCCTAAGTGAGGACTTCGGACTCTCCCTGCCTCCCCATCCTGCGACTTCCTTCTGCTCCGTTCTCCTGCTCCTCGCAGGTGAGCGCTTTGCCGGATGGGCCTTGGGTTATGCGTAAATGGGCCTAAGTGAGGACCACAGGCTCTCCATTGCTCCTCGTCCTCCTTGCTCCTTCTCTACCGTTGTCATGCGCCTCGCTAGTGAAAGAGAAGCTGTTGTGCCTGCCTATTACGCGAACACCGCCCTCCAGTTGGATCTCGGGCTCTGCATTGCTTCTCATCCTCCTTGCTCCCTCTACATCGTTCTCAAGGGCCTCGCTAGTGAAAGCGCAGCTGTTGGCCTGCCCAGTAGGCGAACACCGCCCTCCGTTTATGCTCCTCGCTAGCGTACGCTTAGGTCTGCGGCGGGCCGGTTTCGCGAACACCCCCTTCGGTGAGGCCATCGGGCTCTCGGTTGCTCCTCGTCCTCCTTGCTCCTTCTCCTTCGTTCTCATGCACCTCGCTAGTGAAAGAGCAGCTGTGTGGCCTGCCTATTGCGCGAACACCGCCCTCCAGTTGGACCTTGGGCTCTGCGTTGCTCCTCGTACTCCTTGCTCC